AAGGATTATTTTGTTGTGCTGGTAATGTATAGTACTACAGTCCTGGCACTTATGAAACGAATGATTTTGTGACGAGAATGGTGTGTTTGTCAAAGATTCCTGTATTGGATTGTGATGGGAAAAAAAAACGACTGTGGATTTGCCTCTTTTTTCCATTGTAGAAAAGGACAGAATAAATAGCCAATCAAAGTAACTCAATAACCTGCACTTTTCCTTGACAGTGTAAAGAAAATATGTACCAACTGCTACGGATGCCATACAATTTGATTTGCTCCACTGCAACACTTTCACAGCAATAGCCCTCGAATTATAACCTATATATAGGCTATACATTTAGCCCATGTTGTTTACAATGCTGCAAATTTAAAATCAATAGGCACTGCCAAAATGGTAACAGCCTAATGTTCCATTAGAACTCCCTGCTATTCAATTACGGGTCTGGAACTGGAAAAGTTTCAGCTCGCTCAGGTCCCCAGAGATGACACACAGAGGATGAGGCATAGAGATAGGGAGTAATAAATCTAAAGCTGACAAACAGAAAAAGATAAAGTTAAGGCATCTTCTAACCTCCCCCATTCCCACATTTGTCAGTCTTCCTCATGGCTGTGGCACTTTGTTCAAAATTCAAGATGTGTAATGTTTATTTTTTAATATGCTTAGTTCCCCTAGCCCACTATTATTTGTTAAAATATTTTTTGCTAATAGTATTGAAGTTTAAATCATGATTGTACACTACACATAATTACCCTGCCACAGCAACCTTTCTATTTTTTCTTTCTTTCTCCCAAAGGAAGCAAAGGCCTTTTCTCAGCAGCCAATATAGAATAATGTAACCCTGACCAAAATCACTAGAGAGAGCAAGGGAAGAAGACGGGGACAGAAAATGGCACAGGGAAGGATGAGAGAGACGTTAGAGATGCTCTAAACCTTTGAATTGGAGGGGAAATTAGGTTTACCCTTTAGATATACTCCTCAAATAAAACTCACTTTAACCGTTGAGCTTTCACTTGTGGAAAAAAATGATTTGATTTGTTCTTGCTGACAAAGCAAGAGAAGGATTTAGAATACAGAGTTACAAAAACTTCCATCTGTCAAGAATGGACATGAAAAGTACTGTACTATGCTACTGCCAACAAGACTCCGAAAAAAACTACTGGTGAGAGATGCACTGTTGAAATGTCTTTGTTATAAAGAGAGAGAGAAAATTGTCATAACTAGGGATGCTGACCTTTATGACAGTACCGGATGTGACCAGCAGATGGGTCAGTGTCAAAGGTAAGTGGGTAAAAGAAAGTAGAGAAGAAGTACAACTTCAATTACAGTTAATGTAGATGAAAAATAAACACAGGTGGATAATACAGTTCTAATGCTAGACCATGGTTGACCGGACGATGCCTGGTCCTGGACAACACAGGTTCCTCTTCATACAACTAATACTGTACTTTTACTTGTATTAATTGCAATGGATGGTTGAATCTTATACTCAAGATCAGTATCGGTCATCAAAACATCGTCAGTAACGGCAGCCCACGGCATGCTGGAGAACAAGAGAAGGAATCAGAATCATATCGGCATCAACAGATACTCTAAGTTGCAGTTTCAGACACAGAAAAGTTGTCTGGAGCCATCCCTACTAAAGGCCACAGAGAGCTAATACTTATTTGTTGTTGATGGAAATCCAGGTATTATTTTGTCGGGAAAATGATACCTAAAAGTACAAGTATTGCGTCATTATGCTCATATCAGCCTGTTGGTATCCTAAATCCCTACTTAAAACAGACCTTTTAAGGAACAGTGACATACACAGATACTGCAGCCGAAGTTTCTTCAAATATACCAAACAAGCCACAAACTACACTGCACATCCTGCTGCTCTGATGATAATCCCACTCCCTCTGGGTTGCAGTGGATTTATCTCCCAAGTAAATACAAACTATGGCACACAGCAAATAAACTCCTACATGGACATATAATAAAAGATAAATCTGGGATTACTGAGACGTGGCTTCTACAACCTGAAACTGGAAATCACCGTCTGTCAAAACTTATCTGATTTCTTGAATTTACTTTGCGTTTTTATGTTACATTTTCAAATACAATCATTCGTCTTCTACCCTCGTCAGTTCACCGCTCCACTGCTTAGTCACACATGGAGATAATTTAGAACAGTGATTATCAACTGATGGCCCGTGGACCGGATCCAAAATAAATATCAAATAATAATGTTTAAAATATTAAAAATGTGTCCAAATAACTTTATTTTCATAGCATTACAACTTTCGGCGCAGATTTCTGACATTTTTCTTGTAAATTTAAAACTCTGATTTGTGTTTTTTTTTTTTTTTTTTTCACATGGCCCTAATACTCAGTCATACTATTAAGTAAGCTTCTTTTGGTCTTTTATGAAAAAGAGTAGACTGACTAAAAAATGTGTAACTGCCAAAGCTGCAATTACCCTCTCACATTTGCTGTGTTTTGTAGCCTGTGCTGAAATTACAAGAAAAAAACAAACAAACAAACAAAAAAAAAAAAACACTGCTGTGGGACTTTAAAGAGGTCACGTGAGGCTCAAACTACTACATTCCTGGTGATTCATCACATTTCCCTCTGTAAATACTGTACATTCAAGGTGTAGAGTCAATCATCCTTCTATTATTCATAGCCCTTTTGAGAGCAGTACAGTGGAATGAAGGTGACTTAAGTTTAATCATGTTAATGTGAACATTATAATACATTTATGTCAAAAAGGTAATACCAGCACAGTGAGAGGAGTGCCACACCATTAATGTCAGCCCTCAGATGATAAACAGTCACATGGTAATGTGGAGATTGACTGTAATCTTCCAGGAAAAACATTAGAGTAGAATCAGTGGTATAAATAATGTCCTCATTCTTGTTCACGGTGTTTTTTCATTAGTCTGACACAGATTGAATTCAAACTTTTGAAAATAAAAAAATGCAATTAAATTCTCTAATGTTGTTCCTGTTATTTCTAAAGTATTTTTTGGTCTTACATTAAAACAGTCGATATTAACGACATGACATTCAATAAGCTGTGATTTCCTGTTGACATGGAAACAAATGTAAACACATTTAGGAAACTCAAACGCAAAAGTATTTCAAATGTGGTAATAAAAGAAAAAAAACTGATAAAAAACATTTTTTTTCTCATAATTAACTGTATTTTTCTCGATGTATTGACTACAAGACTTACTTATTGCTTCGTTGCTGACTAGAAATAAGGCAATAGGCGAAAATAAACATCTTCAAGTTCAGACACTTTAGGCTCAGCAGTGCCATAATCTTTGTTACCTCGGTTACACTTCTTTCTCTCTGCCAACAGACAATCTAACAAGAACATCAACAAGAAGTTTCTCATCACTGCTGCATTCTTCAGAAATCTGGTCAACACGGTACAATAGCCTTCAGTTATGGATGACGGCGTTGAGTGGTGAAAAAAAAAACAAAAAAACCAGCAGACAACAAACAGCTCTGAACAGAACTGGCACAAAGCTGAATAAAAAAAAATAATAATAAAAGGGAATTTTGTAACATAACACAAAAACATGATTTATGTAGAGAAATGTTATTCATATAGAATAGAATTATAGAATTATTATTATTCATATATAAGTATTTCTTATGGCTACGATCAATAACAAAATAGTAAAAAAAAACTCCATGCATTGAGACATTATTAGAGCTGTTCACCACAGGTTCAAAACAACAACACATCCCTTCCTGTCTATCAGTACAAAAATTAGAAGCTGCCTCCATTCTGAGTAGTAACTACCTGAACTATCACTTGGACAAAATGCATTAAACCCCAGTCACATACTACAACAGTACTGAGGAGTGAGTAGTGGATACGCTGAACAAACACGGGTGAATGTCTAGAAGCTGAAAGGTGTAGGCACTGAGATCGAAAAATGTACAAAAGCAAACTAAAAACCCAATTATTTCTCTCCCTCAGGTTGGTGGAGTCTGATACATGTTTGAGGGAAGGTCAAACAGATAATTCAGGTACAGAAATCCTTTATGAATGTTAGTTAAAGATTTAAGATTCAGGTTTTCTTTATGAATAATGTATTTATTTTGAACTCATACAAATTATATTTAAGCTGCAAATTCAACTGATTTAGCTATATCTAACTTAGAATCTAAAGACAATTTTCACACTGTACACAACCTATTAATCATACTGTATATTTTAGATTTTGTTTTATTTCTATTTTATATTATAGATTTTTTTTACAGTCTGTATGAATGTTTAAAAGAGGCCTCTATAGAGACTTCAATTCAGGACTTGGTTTCAGTAAAAAGAAAATCATTTAATATTATTTAGGTATTGTTGAAGTGCTGTCTGTTCCATCTCACACTCTGTTCCCATAATTCTGTCTGGCAGTGTCATTCTTAACAGTAGACTAAACAGTGCTGTAGAATAAGGTTTGGGTAATTAAATGCTACATTATAACAGACTGTATTTATTGCCATTAGTGACGGGAGTGAACATGATAGTGTTTCTTTTTTGTAATGATCAAACACTGCTCATCACCACCATTGTGTTGTGCACTATTGAGCCACAACATACATAACGCCTGGTAGCACGTGTGTCCGACACACTCTAACTGCCATGCTTTTATAGCCGTCTCCATCAAGTAATGCATCATGTGCCGTGCCATAAAGATCCCAGCCACTCATACACACACAGACACACCCGTGCTGGTTGTTAGGGAAAATGTTACACTGTTCTGGTCATCAGAGCTCGGCTCCATAAACCCACAAATGCCTGAATAGAAAGACATTGTTTGTGCAGATAGGGCTCACTGATGAATCATCAACTAAAGCAACTAAACCCCCAAGGAAACCGTACAGGTCCATTCACATCACACGCCATGAACGGGAAAAGAAATCATGTGACTGCGTTCGGCTGTTGTGCTGTGATGATTCAGACAAAGGTGTGCTGCGTCAGGAGAAAAAAGGCAGAGCCATTGTCTTACCCTCCGAGACTGGATCTCTTTGACGTATAACGGCAGTAAGAATTCAGACACTCCCTCCAGCCTGACGCCTTCCTTTGTCACTCGAAGAGTTCCCATTCCTTCCTAAGGAAACAGAATGAAACACACAGAGACAAACAGAGGGGGAAATTGTTATAAGAAATAGATTTGAGTTTTACTGTTTCCAAATAATAGAAACGGGGGAGGGATGATTCAATGTGAAATGAAATGAAATCTTAAAGAAACATCATTTTACAAAAAGGCTTCTTTCTGTATGATTTCAAGGAAATAGAAACATTACAATGTGTTCAATAAAACAACAACAGCTGGATGGAAAATGTCACATAATCAATACTAAAAGAAGAACTGTCTGGTTTTGAACAGCAATTATTTAGACCAATTGATAAATGTGTGCATTTTCTTCCTGTGTCTGGACTAATGAGTTGACATGGTTGACAGGTATTATATTATTAATGTGATAATGGTGGTATTCAAAGTGGGGGTCACGGACGCCTGGGGGAGCGCAAGAGCATTCTCAGGAAATTACAAGAAAGAAAAAAAAAAGGAAAATGGAAAAAACCCTCCCTGGACTTGTCAAGAAGACAAATAAGACAAAGTAGAGAAATGAGTGGAGGGGGCGGGTGGTGGAGGTTGTGGTGCAGCAGTGGGACTCCTAACTGTGTCTTTTAAATAAAAATCCAAAGTCCAAACACAACATTACAACATCTAAGAGTTCAACTTGTGCTTTATTCTCATTCTGCAATGACTGCTGCTCTACTGTCAACGTCAGGGTTCTCTTTCATGCTCTATGGAGTTAAACAAAATAGTACTACTACTCAGTTACCTTGTGTCTTTTCTTGGTGTATGTGGAGTGAATACAACGAGGTGCTATAACTGCGCGGTCAGTCAGCAGTTTTAGTAAATGTCCATAAATACTAATGGAAACATCTCAATTAAGGCATTGGGAAATTCACTGAAATCATAAATTAATTCATGCATCCCTGATGTGATTTGCATTTAATTTGTTAAATACTAAAATAAAAATGTACATCTGTGCAAGATGATCCATAATTATAGCATTTGGACATTCATGAATTGATGCCAGCAATTTATTTAATGGCGCTTTTAATTGGGAATTTACTGTATCAATCGATACATGTATAATTCATAGTATTAAATAGAAAAATTGCTGCGATTCACTTTTTCTTACCAAAAGTGTAACAGAATGTCACACGTTGTTTGTGTTAATTATCTTTTCAGGAAAAGTTAGAAGAAACTCTGTTTTTGAAGATTAGTTCTGACATGAAGCAACCTTTTAGTGAATTGTCTATGAAGATTCTCAGTCATCCAGGTCACGGTCAAGGCTGAAGAGTTCTGTTAGGCAACTGGACGTGAAACTTTCTCAAAGAAGATGTTTCACCTCTCATCCAAGAGGCTTCTTCAGTTCTTTTAGTAAAACTTTTCAAAAGCACTCTTGTAAAATCCACTCATAAGAATAAATCTAACAGAAGATTTCTATCACGCTGTGATCACATAATATATGAACCCCCTCAGATAACTGACCTTATCATGAGTGTAACAAAAATGTTTTAGTTTCCAATTTACGATCATTTGAATACTTTTTGATCATTATGAAATGGCAATTGATTTTGACTAAGGCACCGTCATAAAATGACTGGTTTTCTGCCCAACAGTTAGATAATTTAAGGGATTTACTGAGATACGGAGCTATACATATAGCAAGTTTGGATTTTTGTTTCTTTTTAGCTTGTTGTTAGCTTTACCGTCACTTAGCTCCAACCCAGAGTTAACAAATGACCTCTGATAGTATCATGTGTAATAAAGGTCTTTGTAACAGATGTTTTGGGGTCATTTTAGGGTCAACTGGGGAGGCCGAAAGTCCTCTGTACGGTCGCATGGGCAATAATGAACTGCAGTTTGACAGTAAGGTTAACAGGCAAATAGTCCCATTAGATGGAATACCATATGTGAGGTTACATGCACACACACACACACACACACACACTCTACTCAGAGCAATCACAGCCAGAGTTCCGCCGAGTTTATCACTATGACTTTCAGGTGTCCACAAACACGTCCACACGCACACATGCAGCAGTAAGTACCAGAGACCCACGTGTCCCTGTGGTGATGGATAGGCCAGGGAAGTATTTTGCAGGCACTTCTAATATTAAGGACTGCTGTAATTTTTCACACAACCTTTTATGTCAGCCAACAGACCTAGAGAGAGATATAAAGAGAGGGGGAGGGGGGGAGTTAGTTTGCAAAGGGAAATGTATGAAGAGTGGTTCCCCTGACTTTTCGACCACAGACAAAATTTCTTTAAAACGTAGTTTCCTTTGAGTATTACTGCAGAATGTGTTGTAGAACGTGGTTCCCACCTTCACTGAGCAGCTTATGAGCTGGTCTGAGTGCCAGTTGGAATTCAGCACAATACCAAAGAAAATCAAATTTAAGTGAATCCAAGTAAAGTGTGTGAACGTATGAACTCACTGAACTCCCAGTGAGGACAACAGACTCCGTACAGGGTCCCTGGTTTGAGACGTCATCGACCTATGGCGTTTCGTGGTTACGTCAGTAACCTTATGGTTTCTGCTGATCAATTAAATTGTGCATAAACAACGATATCTGTGTTGTTGTAATAGTGCTGTAAAAATGTTGTCAAAAAAGCACACATAATTGTAATTAAATTTTTTTTAGTTACAATTTGTTTTAGTTTTTTTTTGTTTTTTCTAGTCATACGTGTGAAGGTTTGCAGA